ACCCATTGGTGGATTCTCCATCTCCTGTGCTGGAGAACTTCTAATGCACTAAATTTATTCTGAAATTATGTTTCTGTTATATAACAAACAGTGAAATACCTTGTTTTATTTAGTTAGCTGACTATTTTTATAAATTAAAATTTTTAAATTGTTTCCCATGGCTTTGTTTTACGTGGGTTTGTTTTGTAATGCCTTTGTTAAAGGATTTTATCTAAAGTAATCTGGCTCATAACATATATACACATTTTCACTAGCACTTGGAGTATTTTCTTTTTCTTGAAGCTTGCATTGTGCAAACATTCAGCTTATTTCATGGAATTTTATTTGTGTGCATATCCAGGGGAGGGGACAAAATCCAAACAATGCTAGTTTCCATTTGTAACCTTGTAGAGGTTCATTTTTTTTCCTTTTTTCCTTCTTTGTACCACATAAGCTCTATTAATTGAGGAAAGATGAAATAACTGCATAATACATGTTATTTCCCTTAGCTATGAGTACTTTTTGAAAGAGCTTATGTTTAACACTTGAGCTCGGTCAAAGATAAAAAAGCTGCATTTAAAATCATTTATAAATGGTACACATTTATACCAATTTATATCAATAATTATACCAATTATTATAAACAAACAAATAAACAAAGCCAGAAAGTCCACATTTTGGATACAGAGAACCTGTGGTTTGAAGGAGAGGTAAAAGAGGCCACTTTAACACTGAACAGCTCTCAGATTCCACCCCATTTGCACTCTGATATGCGTGACCCTGAGCACGCAGATAAAACCCAAGTGTCCTAAAAAGTTCTTAGGGAGAATGCTAATGACCAGCTGACTACAAAGAAATATCCTTCCAATCCCAACCCCCCATCATGTCAGAACTAATCCTTCCATTGCCCCCACCATCCTGCCAGAACTGATGAAGCTTCTTGGATGAGAAACAAAATGTCTTCTTCTTCCTCTTCAAAGAAAAAAAACAGTCCAGTTGCCTTTTGAAAAAGCACCTTTGGGATAACTATGACCTGGATGACTGAGAATCTCCACAGTCTAAATTAATTAATAAATGCCCCAATGGGCATTTATAAGTAACGAATTCCTTAAAATTTAAGTCCATGTGAATAATTCAGAAATAGTAAGAGGCATAGTTTTAAGTGAGAATCCAAAAACTTGTAACATGAAACCAACTTGGAACAATGTGAGCAACTCAACTGTCTTGCAATAAACATGGATATTATACTATTATTTAGATTAATCAACTATTGACTTATCATATATCCAGACATGCCTTAAAATCTCTTCAGATCAGCATTCAATTTTGACAACTTCTGCCTTCTAGATGGCTTTTACTATATAAATGCTGACTATATCTGTGCACTTTCACTTCCAGTACATGGAAAATTTGCAAACATGATTTTTTTTTCTTTAACTTTCAATGAGGAGCATAAAAATATGTATGATTCTAAAGGAAATGAAAGTATTTCAACATAATTAAAAATGCTACACTCAGATCAGGACATAACCTGATTGATTTCTATTGTGTTATTTCAAAAAGGCTGATGCCATATCAGGAGCATCAATTTCTGCACAAGAAAGTGTACAGGATTTTTGCCTTTCAAGTTTTGTTGTAGCTTACATGAAGTAGCAGACTGAATGCTTATCGCTTGAGCCAATATTATGAATTATTTTGCCATAGCTCTCTATGTATTCTTCATACTTAAATAGTTTGGTTCCCTAAGAAATATGACAGATGTTTTCATGTCTGACTACCTTTTACTATGCTTTATTATTGGCTTACTTTAGTTCTGCATAGAAACGTTTATTGCCACAATTCAGTAAGTGGATGTTGAACGAGTTATTGGTTCTTTGCTTTCTTTCCTGGAGCAGCAAAACTGGTTTTATAGCTGGCACTTAGAACATTACCAGTAGTGGTGTCTCCCTTGTTGCTATCTAGTTTCTACTGTTATTTGAGCTCTTGGAAGTATGTCATTGCACCTAGGAGACTGCAATTTGAGCATTCAAGTAGAAAATTTAGTATAAACATTATCTTTTTCCCCCTTAGAATTATTTCTTCATGACTGTAAATATATATTGCCTTTTGTGGTTTCTATTTTTGCCTTTGAGTAGATAGTAGCATTTTTAATTGGCAAATTTTAAAGTTTGTTTTAATTCTAATTAATCTTAATATTTATTTTCTCTTTATTTTTAGGAGGAATTTCCTTTGTCCTCAATCAAACAGGGGAAATGATATCTCTTAAAAGATTACTGTAAATCAGACTCATCATGCAAGGGTACTAATATACATGTTATTCTTAACTGAAATATACCAGATTGATGAGAAATTGACTCATGTTTCCTTTTTACCTAGTAATAAATACAGATTATTTCCTGAGGAGGAAGATAACAACTTATACCAAACATACGAACACGGAGAACTCCTCAACATAACCTCCTTTCTTGTACCTGTAGCCTCTCCATTGCCTGAAATGGGTCTACTCCAAGGCAGCTTCTCATTTTTATAAAAAACTTCAATTCTGAACATGCTCATCAGTTAGGGAAATACTAGCTACAATAAGCAAGAATTCAGATAGCAGGATTTTTCCCTCATCTGTTTCTCCTGGAGTAGCCGGGGACAAATTCATCTTATGAATCCACATTGCAAGACTTACTGCACTGGGGAAATATTGTAGATATAATACTTAGAGCATTTCATTTCAACCCTTACAAATGTAAGCACCAATTACACTCATTTAGCTAACAATAAAGAAATGTTCCTAAGGTTCAGAATTAGATCCATTTTGCGTGCTGGTCTAGAGCACTGCATTTCTTTCTAATTATGACATATTTACTTCTATTATCTCTCTTAGCTAGGATTACCAGATACTTCATTCCTTTCTCCACTTACTGCTTCTTCAATTATTTAATTTTACCAGGCAGAAACCTAGTGAATCAAAATAGTAACACAACAACAAGCCAAAGCATCTAAGCTCCTCTTCTATTGAGCTCACAAAAAAAGAGCAGATGAGCATTGGTTCTTTCTTCACCTCCTCCTTGCTGCACGGCTACCTATATATTTCTTTATATCCTGACGTTCTTGGCTTAACTACTACCACCCTCTTACTCTTTTTCCACTTCCTCAGATAGCAGGACCTCATCAATTTTGGATAATCATGAAAAACCATGAAAATTTGGATTGGTTAGTACTTGGATGGGAGACCATCAGGTTTACTAGACTGTAGAATAGAGTGGTCAGAAATTATTCTGTAGGAAGGCAAGGTCCCATTACTTCTGTACTATTATCTCCCTATACTAAATTATGGATATTGAGTTTGATTCAAAGGAGATTTTAGTTAACAAATGCAGCCCTCCCACAAAACAATCTTTGTCATGTCCCAGCTAGATTACTTCACAATGAACCATCTTTCCTTCCTTCTGTTCTCTGGGTCATCCTGGTTTAGGCAGAACTATCTGACCCAGTGCTTCTCACCTATGGCAACTTTAAAATGTCTGATCTATGCCCAATTTAAAAGTATGGAACCAGGAAGATTGAGAGGAGCAGCTTTGAAGTTGCTGCTGCAACTGTGCCAGAAGCAGACACACGCAGGTCCTGTGATCAACGTTCTGCCCAAAATTTAATTTTCTCTGTATTTCAATTATAGTAATTCTATATAAATTTGCCTTTAACATATAAATCAGGATATGCCAATGTTATAGAAACTTAAACCCTTTTTGTTTTGTTTTCTGAAGTTCCACATCTTTTTTTCCAAATGTGTAATAAGTGTAATATATGCAACTGCCCTATCTTTTTTGGTCCAAAAAGGGCTAGGTCTAAAAGCTGTCAAAACTCGCATTTTTCATAACTCCAGGAACAGGAAACGCCTCTCTCCTTTCATAGTCTTGCATTCTCTCTGCACTGAGTGGCTAAGAAGATCATGGTTTGGTGTTGTAGTCATCTAATGTACGTAATTACACCTTCCCCATTTTGAGGCCAGCACAACTTTTGACCATTCTTGTCAATCACACCATGACAATTTCATTATCTACACAAAATCCATTCATGTTTTAAATCTGGGGAGGAGAGGAATACCATCAGAAGATTTCTGACTAGGTATGAGATTTGTCCCCAATCCCAAGCATACTTGGAGTAGCCAACAAAAGACTAAAAGGAACCAGCTGAGGTTGCTATTTCAGCAGAAACAAGTTGTAAAAGAATACTTTCTTAATTTAGCCAGTAGATGGCAATGGATTTATTTGTGTCTTGAGTACTGTATAGTCAAGAGTTTCCAGGGCCTTTTGCTCCTTGTTTAACAGAGTAAACCAATTCTTGTTTACTTTACCTTAGTGACTGAGTTTTTTAAATCATCTGTAGGAAATGTTGCCAATGTACCAATTTAATATAAGTAAAAGTGAATAATCATGTCCTTTATGACTTTAAAAATCAAATTCATCTGGGAAAAAAAATCAACATTTCTTTCCTCCACTCCTGCCTGTATAGCTACAAGACCAGAGGTGGTCTGAAAAACTGGCAGGTCTAGAACTGAAAAGATTCTTTGGCATATGAAAAATTAAATTATTTCCTAAGAAAAAGAAACTGCTTCCCCTTTTAAACAAATCAAATTAGGTATGCACATTTCCATTAGTAAGATGGTGAATATGACAGAAATGTGGATGTAACTAAAATAAAGGGGCTTTTCAGGGGTATAGAACATGGATAGGAGGTAGACATTTCTATGCCCTCTAAGTAGTGTATTTAGAATTTGACTTACATGAGTGCAGGTGAACTATATAATAATACAAATATCAACTATAAAAATGTTACAGAAGTTCTACGTTCAGAAGCTACCAATGCTTCAGATGCAGAGTGAAGCAATTGTTGTAGGCTTCTGTTTTCATGTTCCATTTCTGCACCTTTCACATTTAAGTGGTTAACTATTATTCTGAACCATATAATAACTAGCATAGGCTTAGCAAGTTTTATTCTGTTCTTCTGACATGTTTTCAATGTATACTCACCACCCTGGCGGCTCTTTCTTGCGATTCACATTTTCGACAGAACCACGGTCCGGTGGGAACCTGAACAATTCCATAGCATGCTAAGAGAAGAAACAAGAAAATTTAAGAATGAAATTTGGGTTGCTATATATTTTTCTTGATATCCTTGGTAGTTTCCTATTTCAGCCATAAATCTAAGATGGAATACAATCCTGTATTATTCAAGCTCTTAGCAATTTGACTTAGACTCTCAAAACATGGTTCTTCAGTCTGAACGATTTGTGATCCACCAAGCTAAATAGAGACATCTGGCCATGTACAGTATTTACTCAGTAAGTTTCCTGTTTTTGCGGTCTCCTTAATATCACAAAACAAAAGGCATCAAGGAGCTGGTAGGTCCCAATTCATGCTGGTGGCTGCATGTAGCTTGCAGCATCATTAATGATATAAATCTGTCATATTGCAACCTCCTTTGAAAAAAATCTCATCGCTCCTTTTTTTCTGAGTAGTTTTATATTTAAAGTGTTGCTATAGTATCAAGAATCGGAACTTGTTACAACATCCTTACTGTTGTGTCATTAAAAACAAATTTTATTCATCAGCAAGTTACTACCAAGTCTACCCAAATCTGTAAGTTATTACTAAAATTTAGCAAAGCAGCTTAAATATTAAAGATTAATCTACTAGAAATTTTGGACGTCAAATCCTATAACAGTGATGGTGAACCTTTTAGAGACCGAGTGCCCAAACTGCAACCCAAAACCCACTAATGCATCGTCAGGTGCTGGGTGGGTGTGGCCCATTGGGTGGGCGTGGTTGCGATGGTAACAGCAGACTGGGTGGGACTAAAAAGTTCAATCAATCAATTCCAACTTTGCAAGATCTTTTTTTTTCCCGCGAGAAGTTGAAATTTTTTTTTTGCACACGGCGGCGGAGGCCTAAAGCACAAAGATTTTATAAAACCCAGCTGAAGGCCTAGGACTCGGGCGACGGTGTGTGTGCCCACAGAGAGGGCTCTGAGTGCCGCCTCTGGCATTTTCTATGTTTGGAATAGAAAAGAGAGTAGATAGCAGTCTAATAATCCATATAAATGCAAATGTAACAAATGTGGTAATCTTTTTCTTTCTATAGTTATCAAAAATTTAACATTAGTGCATAGGTTATGTGTCTCAAGGAAATTATGCAAGGGATTCCCAGAGAAGGCCGGGCAAACAACTATAGGAAACAGAAAATGAATAAAAGCATTAAAGCCTTGGCAAACAGAAGAGTCCTGCATTCCTTTTTAGCAAGGAGAGGGGAAAAAGATCCCGATCTCATTGAACATGTTATTAATATTCCTTCCTGTTGAAAGAAACAGATGAAAGTGAGGAAAATCATGAACAGAAGAGAGGAAACAGAACAAAAGGCGCTATACTAAAAAAATATGTATTGATTGATTGATGAAAATATGGTGCTGTTTTTCCCATGCAAAAAAAAAAGAAACCAAAGCAACTTACAAAATATAAAAGGCATAAAAATAATAATCACTTAAAATGTCCTAGGGAAGATAAAGACATAAAGATCCAAACTACTGTATCAATTAATAAACAGAATGAAGCAAGAGAAGTAAAAATGTTTGTTTAAAGAGACATGATTTCACACTGACAGAGAATAAAAGTGATTTTTTTCAGGAATAACTCCTAAACTGCCAGCTTTCCCAGAAAGCACTCTGCCAAAATTTGTGGTAAGCTATGAACATAAGAGTTAATTTTCCACTGATTTTCTAGAATACAGAGATCTAACCAAATCAAGGTTAAGACACTGAATAGGCTTAATAAACATAAATCCCCTTTAGAAATCCTTTCAAAGTGCTGAAATCCCAACTGCATTCGTTCAGTGAGATCACTGTATCACTACAATGTTATGGTCTATGATCACACAAATAGGAGTTGTTCCAACTAATTGAAAGGTTTCACCTCTAGATATAAATTATTAGAGCAGATGCTCAATCTACAGGATTCTACCACTCAGAAAAAAAATAGTATTTCTACAATCACCTTCTGAAGAAAAAAATTAGTATATTTCTACAATCAACTTCTGAAGAAAAAGGCATATATTGTACATCAGAGAAGTCTGTAGCTAAAAATGTTATGTGTATTAATTATGTTGGATCCAGATGCAGCTACCATTAAAGGCCCATTCAAATCAGTGCAATTTAAGTCAATCTATTTGAATCTTACTATTTTTAACATATTATTTTAATTTGGATCTAATGGTAAGGAAAAACATGCAATCAATAAAATATCAAATATCAACACTGCAATTTTCAAATTAGAGAAGGGAAATCAAAATAATTTTAATGCTTCCATATCTTCCTCCTGATTACTATTTAAAACTGTGCTTGTCCAAATAATTGAACATTCTGTGGGATGTGCAACTCTATAATAGGAAATTTATGTATCTATTATACTTAATATTCTATATATCAGTAGCAGGCAGCTTATTTTAAGAACATCTGATGTAGTTATTTTTTGTTCTAAATACTCATAATAATCTTCTATCAAAAATTAATTTGGGATCTGTGCCTTTGACAACTGACATACCTTGTACTACATATATTTATTTTATTGTATATAGGAATAGCCTTGATGTACTTAAAATATGGCCTGAATTAAATTAACAAATTTTGATACAAATAAAAGACCTTTCTTATTTTTTCCCCGCCTCTCTGAAGCAAAAATAGTACTCGGATTAAGCTAGAATATGTACATTTGCTTGGTTTGCTCTATTGCTAAAAGTGAGTCAGCAGCGTGATGTACGTGCAAACATAGTTAATGCAATTTCAGGTTGCCTTAATGGAACATGAGTTCTCAGAATAGCATAATGACAGCTTCACATTAGTCTGCATTGGTCATATATTTTATCTACTAGGTCCAATTTGAGGCCTTAGAAATTATAAAGGACATAGGTGAACTGGGTTAGGGTTAGGTGAACCCAGTTCACCTATGTCCTTTATAATTTAAAGGAAGGGTAATCACAATAGTGGATAGTATGCTAAGGAACAAATTTTAAGGTAACTGGTCTTGTTTAATTTGAAGAAGAGAGCCAGAAAACTGAAGACAGGAATATCATAGCACTCTTCAAATGTCTGATGGGCAGAAAAACTTGTTCTCTACTACCTCTGAAGAGATAAATTCAATGGACTTAACATTGCAAGGAATGCGGATTTTAGTTGATGGTAGAACAGTCTGATAAAGTAAGCTTAGAATGGTTGATGGATTCTCCCTTATTAGATGTCTTTGAAAAGTCATATCTTGAGAATATTCTAGTCTGAATTCCCTCCACTGAGTTGGAGTCACAACAAAATCTTTTACTTTTGTTGTGTTACAGAACAAAATCTCTGATTTTAAGTTAATGCAGTTTACAACACAGTTTTTCTCAGAATGTAGAATACTGATATCTTTCTAAGCATCATTTCAAAACAGTCACCGAAGGGAAAAGGCAATGGAATATACTGTCTTCCCAGCTGTCCATTGAGACTTCTGATGTGCACTGAAATAATTCCCTTGCAACTAAACGTTCTTGGTTGCTACGAAGGCAATTGGGATATAATTATTCACATACAGTGCAAGTAGCCTGCATTGGAGCTATAAAAGAGCTTTTCAAATGTAGGTTGAACTTCCTTTAGATATATATACAATATTGGACCTCAACTCTTTTGATGTCATTTAAATAACTTTTGTTTCCTTTCTTTTGTCAAAAATGTTCCAAAGCATTCTTCTGAAATACTGACTGAATTAGAAATACATGAATCCCCCACTCCTACTCCCATTCCATGTTTGCAAACCAGAAGGTTAATATTTGGTCAGGCAATATTTGAAGCTTCACTAAGTTCTTTTCAACAGTTTATATGTGTAAGAAATACTATGCTGCTTCTTATCGAAAGTCTGCAGTGGATCTATTTCTGTCATATTTAAGAGACGCCACACTAGTCCAGAAGCCAGTTGAAAATGCCAGCAATTCTAAAAGATAGCAAAGTTGGTCAATTGCCAGGGTTCTAAATCCAGCCCACTCTTTTAACAGTGCAATCATCTCCACTTTGTATTGAAAAAATATTGAAAAGAGTAATAATAATAATAAAGATGGAAGGGACCTTGGAGGTCATCTAGTCCAACCCTGCTCAGGCAGGAAACCCTATACCATTTCAGACAAATGACTGTCCAATCTCTTCTTAAAAACTTCCAGTGTTGAAGCATTCACAGCTTCTGGAGGTAGGTTGTTCCACTGATTAAAAGAATTATTGGAATATCTCATCATTCTCACGTTAAGGGGGGACATTAGGATCTGTGATTATGACCACAAAGTCATGGTCCCAAAGTTATAATTAATACAGAAGCATTCACAAAAGATATGCTTTGTGGAAGCTTACTAGATCAAACTGATCTGAAACACTGCAAGAAATGGTTATACATGGCAGAAATTTAAGGTAATGAAATTGGTATCAGTGAACTTTTTAGATCAGTTTTCAAAGTGGAGCACTTGGCTGTGCCCATTATATTCTAGCCACAACAATTCAACTGACTCAGATTCATAGTTTTGCTCGTTAACATCGAATGCTCTGACTGCAATACCCTACAATCTTGCCTTTGTTAGTACAGATGCTTTATTAGAGCATCCAAAGGCAGCTGCTTTATTTATTAAGTTTTATTTTTGTTTTGCGTTATATTATGTTTTAATTGTTTGCTGCTCAAGGTTGCTTATGCAAGATGGACAGTCCTAAAGATGGAATGATATAAATAAATATATAATCCAAGAGGGTGGCTGTAATCATGCAAAACCTTGCCCCTTTTTACATGCACAAAGGTAGATTTTGATCATGAGGTCACAGGTGCAATCTTCATTTTTTTTAATGTACATTCCTCTCTATCACCATGTAGAAGATCCTAGGTGAAGTCAACTGCTAAGATGACACAGAAAACTCTTCTTGTGAATTTTGACAACCTCTTTTCAGCTACATTCTCATATACGGATCATATTTGCTATATGAGTATTGTCTATATCAGGGCTTTTCAACCAGTGATACGGGTACCACCTGTGGTACATTGGCACCTGGCAGGTGGTA